TTGGATGGGAACTGGCCTTTGTTTTTAGGTCCTTTAGTAATCTAAAGTTTGGTTCATGTGTTTTCAAAAATGTTTCCAAGAATAAACAAAGATAAAGACAGAGTGCCTAGAAAATGGATAATTATTGTGTATATTGCCTGATTTTACTCCCAGCTACCAGTATGAAAGCTGTGTTTACTCACTAGAAAATTTACCTTTGTTAAGTTTTCCATATTGATAGTTATAAAATCCATGTAAACTATATCTTAATGCAGTATGTGTAAATAAATATACTTTACACAGCACAGTATAATTTTGCAACATTGCTTTTTAAAGAAGCCTTATTAAAAAGTAATAGACATTAATTCCATGGTTGTTGATTTTCTTTTTGTCATTAACTCTAATTAGGACACATTTCCTTGATTGAAATCCATTTGAAATATCATTTTGTTATTCAGAATACTTGAATAGAAAGGAAACTTTCAATTACTGGATAAACTTTCCAAAGTTTATAATCCATTTTAAATTATGAAAAACTGGATAAATTCTTACTCAGTTCATAAGGAATGAACTCATTTTGTCCTCTTCCTATAAAAATGAATTCCTAAATGGGCATTGCTTTCCCATACTCCAAACAAAAATACTACTTTCTCTCTTACCCCTTGTTCAGATTCACTAGGTAGTCTAATTGTCCTTGAAACTCTTTTTATATCCGAAAGATTTCAGGAATTCACTGAGATTGGTAGACATGTAGGAATGTCTCTAATTCTGGTGTCAGATTATATATACCCAAAGTGCAGTTTCTAGTACACATTTTCTGTTTTTATATTTGTTGCTGTTATTATTTCATGTAATTGCACTTATAGATCCATGTAGGACACATATAATATAGATATTTGAGTTTTGTTAATCAGAATGTAACAAGGGCGAGAAATTTTGAACAGGGACAAGATGGAGTAGACACTCTTTTCCCTATTTTTCCCACTAAGTAAAACTAAAACCACTGGACATTATATATAAAATAAATATAAAAAGACTAAGGAGGAAAGAAGATGTATCAGTCAGGGACCTTTGGGATTCAACAGAACAGTGGTGAGTTCCTTGGGTTTTCTTTTAACCTCTTATATTTTGGACTAGGTGCTGGAGTAGCTGGCAACACAGACATGCCAGTGGGCACAAACAAACAAAAAAAGAACACCAGAAAGTATGTTTGTTTACCTACAGGATCAGGAAAGTAATTGAGATGTCTTCAAATACAGAAACCTTTTGGACAATAACTGCCATACTCCAGGCAAACACTGTAGAAAAAAAAAAAAAAAAAACTGTAGCCCCCTATCTACCAGCCAAGGCTAAGCAGGGAACCTAGACGTCTGCCCTCTCACATCTATAAGGGAACACCCTTCTCCCTCCACCCTCTGCTAGGGTGGTATCAGAGAAGGCTGAATAGGGAGACTGGATTTTCCACCATTGCTCTGAGACAATGAGGGTTGCCTTCATAGTGTGTGAAACCTACATGTCAAGTAATAATGAGACACCCCTTCTCTCTCTGGCCTATAGTATGTAAGCACAGGCCTAGTGGGGGTCTAAACTCCTACCTCCTCCAAGTAGTAACTGACTCCCCCTACCCTGTGTCACTGGAGACTGAGTAGGAAAACTGGACTTTTATCCCCATCAACATCAATAAGTGACTGCCCCATACTCTTCACCCATTGGTAGATAGCCAAGAAGAAGGCTGCTAAAATACTAGATTTAAGTAAGATCCAGAATATAATAACATAATACATCCAGGATACAAATGGAACTCATGCATCACACCAAGACCCAGGAAAATCTTAACCTGAATGAGAAAAGATGATCAAAGATACCAAAACCAAAATAATGCAGATCTTAGAATTATCTGACAAAGATATTTAAGCAGCCACCATAAAAATGGTTCAACAAGCACATACTAACACATTTGAAAGAGATAAAAACAGAAGCAGCAAAGAAATAGAAGGTATAAAGAACTAAATGAAAAATTTGGAACATAAACACACAGTAAGTGAAGTAAAAAGCTGGACAGATTCCATGGATTCCACGGCAGATTCAAGAGGACAAAGGAAAAAAATCAGTAAACTTCTTGAAGATAGAATAGAAATTACCCAAATTGAACAACAGAGATAAAACTCACTGAAAAAAAAATATCAGTCTCATGGACATGTGAGACTAAGTCAAGAAGGAAAGGAGGAAGAGGGTGGGACTGAAAAAATATTCATAGAAATAATAGCCAAAATGTTGCCAAATTTGGCAAACAACATAAACATACAGATTCAATCTGAGAAAACCCTAAATAGGATAAACCCAAAGAAATCCATGCCAAGATACATCACAAACTGAAAACTGAAGACAAAAAACAAACAAACAAACAAAAAACCTTGAAAGTGCTGAGAGAGAAGACACCTTATGTGTAAGGAAAAATAAAACAATTTGAAGGACATCATCATCAGAAACTATCTAGACCAAAAGAAAGTGGTATAATATTTTCAAATGATGAAAGAGCACTATCAACTGAGAATCCTATATCCAGTGAAAATATCCTTCAAGAATAAAAGGGAATTAAGATATGCTCAGATAAAGGAAAACTAAGGGGATTTGTCAACAGCATATCTATCTTAAAGGAAGTTTCTGAAACAGGAAGGAAGGAAATAATAAAAGAAGGAATATTGGAACATCAGAAGGATAAAAGAACAGTCCAACTAAAAGTATGGGGTCACATCCAGAATATCACACTGCATTTATTTGTTATATTTCCTTATTCTCTTAACTGTGACAATTTTTGGTCTTTCCTTGAATTTGCATAAAATAAGCTCCCTAGCTGGTTTTTAGGTGGTAACTTTAAGATCCATTGCTGCTAAATTCAGAGGCAGATCGAGAGCACATCTCAGTGACCCATAAACTCTCTAAGAAGCACGTTGACTCAGGGAACTTTCCCTTGCTTGAGTAGTAGCTTGAACTTTGCCTCCCAAGTCATACTGGTTAGGGAGCCAGAAAAAAAAAAAAAAGACACATTTGAGGGATTCTATAGAGGTGTAGTCAGGGTTAAGATACCAAATAAGGGATGCTAATGTAACCAAGAACTGGCAAGAATTGAAAAGTTTTACTCTTCTTGGGAATGAAAGGGAGTAGGAATTCATCCAGCAGTAGCAGTAGCAGTAGCAGTAGCAGTAGTCAGTTATACATAGTTATGAAGAACCCAGCCCTGCTGGAAACAGAAGGCCCTGAAGCATGGAGGAAATATAGGAAGACACACCAAAGGCTTTACCTCCTCCAACTCTATATGGTGCCTTACGTTGTTAGAACTACAGTGGAAGAATCCACGGAATAAGGAACTGAATAAGAGTTCCAGGCCACAGAAGAAGACTGTGGTGGAGAATGAATGGATCTGAGGGTGAGGGAAAAGGGGAATAACCAGCACTGTTCTAAGCAAAATGCCAGAGAAATAGCCTGATCAGTAAACTGTTCTTGTGTTAAAAAGCCAAAACAAACAAAACACAACACTTTTGTGCCAGTGTAAATGGACAGCGCTCATTTAAAAAACATTCAATATATTTAACTAACCAATATCTTTAGTTCAGTTTTCTCTTTAAAAAGCCACTTCTGAAACCTAGTTGGCAGTTAATGTATGTATGATTTTACCTGTAAGGTTTCTAAGTTCAGTTTGAATTTTCTGGTGAGGAAATTTACATAATTATGTTAATTTAATGCAAGGTCTCCAAGGTTTGTAGCAGATCATCCTTACCTTAAGGTCAAGGCTAGAATTCAGCCATCTGTAGGCAATATCAAAAGATGGTGTCCCCTTAATCTGATAGGAGAGGTATTCAGGCCTTTAACAGTAGATGTTTGACATTTGGGCCATTCAAATATATAAATCAATGGGTTTCCCACAATTGTATCAAGCAGTGACCACGTTTTTTCTCTTACAGAGAACATCATGGGAATGCTATGCAGCCCTCTGTCAAGGATAACAGTGGTAGCCATGGCTCTCCTATCAGTGGAAAATTAGAAGGCATCTTCTTCAGCTGCAGCACTGAATTCAATACTGGAAAGCCACCCCAGGATTCACCTTATGGAAGATACAGGTTTGAGATTGCAGCAGAAAAACTTTTTAACCCCAATACTAACTTATACTTTGGGGACTTCTACTGTATGTACACTGCTTATCATTATGTGATTCTTGTTATTGCTCCTGTGGGATCACCAGGAGATGAATTTTGTAAGCAGCGCCTTCCTCAACTAAATTCTAAGGATAATAAATTTTTGACCTGTACAGAAGAAGATGGGGTGCTGGTTTACCACCATGCCCAGGATGTCATTTTAGAAGTCATTTACACTGACCCTGTGGATCTTTCTCTGGGCACCGTGGCAGAAATCACTGGTCATCAGCTCATGAGTTTGTCTACTGCAAATGCAAAGAAAGATCCCAGCTGCAAAACCTGTAATATCAGTGTTGGACGTTAATGCCCACTCTTCTTATTCTTACTCAGCCCCTTTTCCTCCCTTAGTAGCATTGGTCCTCTGTTGTCCATTTTCATCACCAGATGTTTTCCACTGAAGCATGCACATGCCACTGTCGCCAAAAACGAGCTACCACTTTCCAAATTTCATTCAGAGCCATTTTAGTGTTTTCCTATTCCCTACCCCTCCCACTACTTTCAATGATGAAATACCCTAAGTTCTCCTTCTGACACTTTATTGCCTAGATGCTGCAATGTTTTTATGTTTCCTTTATGCCAAACATAACAAAACAGTTATATAGACCGCTTTAGCAAAGTACAAAATAATGGCTTATAAATGGTGTTTAAATATACATTCATTTTAATCTACTGAATAAATATTGGAATAACTCCAAACCGCATGAAAGGGTGTAATTGCAGCATGAGTTAAATCTTGAAGCCTAGAATTGTCAGCATTTCCAACTCCTTGTTTGACAGTGTTATTTATGTTATTTATATTAGCTAACAGGAAACAACTACTGTGTTATCAACATAATAAATATAATAGAAAAATATTTTATTTGTATTGTTGTATAAAATATTTACAATCATATAGAATATATAGAGTTACATTTTAATAGCAATTGTATACATGTCATGAAACCATTTCCCTTATCAAAGATGTAATTTGTAAACCTCAAATAGTTGTGTATCTGTCCTGTTACAAGTAGATGACTTCAATTAAACAAATTTATGAAGGACATTATTCTGATTCATAAAGTTATAAAATATTAGGTAAATACAGAGAAAACAATAAGCCTCTGAAATAGTCTGTTTCTGAAATAGTCAATAGTCTTCCCATTCAGACTATAAGAAAATGTGAATTTCTTCAACATCATACTTGAACATTACAGAAAATAGAAATACAAACAAAGTTGGTACATGAGAGAAAGTGTTGCCCTTTTACTTCCTTTTACAAAAATGAAAATAATAAACAGGGCTTAGTATAAAATAACACAAAATGATATGCACTAAAGTTGATTAAGCAAATAAATATTCTGGCTTCTTTTCCAAGGTGTCAGGGCAAATAGTTTCCAAATCTTTCATTTTGCACAGAAGGAAGAATAACTTCAGCTCATGGGAAATTTTTTGACTTCACAAAGTATATACCTTGCAACATTAAAAAAAAGTATACTCCCAATGAAAAAATAGTTATATAATCTTATAGTAAACAAAAGGATTAGCAGTAATACTATGGTCACATTAGATTATATATTGCAGACACATATCTATCCAAAATACCTATTTTAAATTTTTAATACAATATTTTATTTTAATATAAACATCTGTCAGTTATAGACAAAGATAATAATTCACAAAGTACATGCTATCAGAATGAACTTTGGTAACCAGAAATGTAAAATTTCAAATAACAGATAAAATAATATGTTATTTTTATAGATAAATAAAAAAAATAGCAGTGACACAATCTAGTTTGTTTTAGGGTACTGAGAGCCTCACAGACTTAAGGGACAAGATAGTAAAAGTTTTATCACTCAAAATCCATCAGAAGTTTCAAATAAATTACTTCCTTGCTAGCTGTATTATTTCCTATTTGAGAAGTAGAATTTGTTTTCTTCCTCTTACTGATTTTTTAAAATCATGCTCTTTTCCATACATCATAAACAATCTTTAGATACTAAAACTTCCCCTAACAAGTGTCCCAGCTATGTTATTTAGATTTGATAAACTATTAGAAATTTTTAAAAAATAATTATATTGACTGTGAGTTTTCTGCTTGGCATGGAGGACACTGAATTTTTTCCCTATTATATGGCTACCTGTTGTATCCTTCCTTCCATTTAAATCCCTTCTCCTTGTATGTAATTAAACTTGATATTCCTTCTTAAAAACAGCTAATACTACCACTAAAGTGCTTTCATTTTCATTGTGTCAGAACTACTTAGCAAGGGTGGCAGAGGAAAATAAACTTGACTTTATATCATGGGTGAAAGTGATCATAACATTTCCTGAACCTCAAATAGTTTTGGCCACATCTTGCTTGCTGATGAGTACCTCTAATAGTCTCAGTTTGGCTTTAATGTGCTTATATTCATAATACTCATCTGCCATTGGTATCCTGTCTTCCTTTTGTGGACTTCTGCAAAACAAAAATACGTTTATTACTTCACAATGAATCCAGTCATTAAATATTCTTTTATAATTCATATATGAAAAAGCATACTGTAACAGCTTCTACTTGGTTTTTGCATCATATCTTCCTGTACTTCTCTTTCACCTTCATTCACTCCCTCTTCCATGTGTTACTAAGTTTCTAAATAATAGTAACCTTTGAAAACTTGAATGACATAAGTGTTTTGAAAATCTGTGGTCTGGTGCATAGACTTACCTAAGGAGAAATAAACAAACAAAAACCAGAACTTTCAAGGCATTCTTTGTCCAGTCATTCTCCCATTATCTGCCACAGTCCTACACCTGTACAAAATGTTCAGCCCTAATAGAGTGGTTAAAAATATTAACCTGAAAATACTACGTAAATTATATTTTAAAAATAATTTAATAACTTATGGTAACAAGAAAAGCATTCAGGGTCTGTCTTACAAATTTGAAACATTTCCAGACTTTCTTGTAATTATAATACCTGTGTCTGCTAATATATAGTAGACACTGAGCTGTTCCTTAATTGAAGTAATTTATGAGAATCTACATTGCAGTGGTTCTCTTCTGTACACTAATTCTCCTAAGGCTAAACATGTAACAATGCATAGAATTTTATACATTATGCAGTATGCTCTTGCTGTTTACTTGGAAGAATAACTTGGTAACATCAGGAGTTAAAACCATTTGCCTTTCCACAAAAATATGTTGTCAGGATATGTTTTCTAAAGGAAATAATTGCAACAGGGTCTCAAAAGTCTCTTGTTTTCTTGGTTAATAAGATAGCCAATTATTTTGAAAATATTTCCACTCATGACTTTGAAATTTAAGGGGTAGAGGACACGGATATAGTCACTACAATTACAACTGAATATAACTACAAATACTGTGTAATATTACTATGGCTGAAACCAGGTAAATAGTTTATATTTAATGTTTTATCTTTACCCCTTTCTATTTTTCCAGTAGTGATAAAGAGGTATTTCTATCTCTTACCAAATAAAAAACAAGCTAATCTATAAAGATTGTCTACGAATGTAGTATCTACTTGTATTTCATAACTATTTATTGCCCTGCAATTTCTAGTACAGAACTCAGAACAGTATAGAAATCCATAGAGAGCATTCTTCTTAACTATTGTCTAAATTATATAACATAAATCCTTTGCCTCCATTCTGTGTTATGAGTCAAACTTACCATAACTGGGTGTCTTAATACCACCTTAATTTCTATAAATAAATCTAAGTAAAGAAATTTCCTAATTATTACAGAGAAACATTAATAAAGCATTACGTAATTTTCCCTAGTTTTGCATATTCCATTTTGGTTAATAAGAGTGCTTTGACAAGAATGAAAAGTTTTGCTAAGTCTTTCCTGAAGCAGTTTCCCCATTATATAAAACATACTAATGTGCTTACCACAGTTCCAGGCTCGTAATTATTAATAATAATGTAATACCTGTATGATTCTCATGCCTCTTGTGTGGCAAATATTACCAAGAACATTTACAGTGTCTTAAACATTTTAATTCATTTGCATTGTTATTTTACCTTATGGATAGTTAGGCATTCCCAGTGAAATGTCTTAGATAAAGAAAATTAAGGTCCATAATTCCTAGCCATTCAATGGTTTGATTTTACTTGTAAAAGATCATCATTTGTGCATTTAGTTGAAATATATCACCACAAAGGGGCATAAACTTCAAAGCCAAATATAGGCTTATCTGACTTGGGTTTAGGACTCATAGTTGCAGTGTTAGTTATGTTCTATACTATGCATACAACATCACTAACTTCCGTTTATGACCAAAAGCAAACCAAGTGACACTGCAGATCCAGTAGGCAGGACTAGTAGCACACTGGGAAGTTCTCAAACCCCTTAAGATAGATTCCTGGGTTCAAATTGGTAAAAATATAAATTTATTCAAAGAACTCAAATTTATGAAAATAATGTATACACATCTTAAAGTATCATTTATCATATGTAATGACTGTTTGATTTAGAATATTTAGTAACATCTCCACAAATATTTCCCTGAATGAAAAATTCCCATAGCATACCATTAATCCAAAAGAGGCAGATATCAGGAACTTTATAGTATGAGTCACATATTTACCCAAATATAGCAGACAGTCCAGAAAAAATTATTACTCCAAGGAATGTTTTGCAAGGAAAGTTACATGAACATTTTATAAAAGAAAAAAGTATGGAAAAAAAATTGGTAGCAAATGCTTTATATTCTAAATTTATGAGCCACATACCATTTCTCACTAGATTAGTTAACATCACCAAAAAGGTAAGTTGGACTTTTAGCAATCAACTTCAAGACTATAGATAGAAAATAAGTTGTTACATCTGTATTTGCTAAATACAAAGAGCTTTTCACTCAATAGGTCCAGTCCTAAAGAATATCCCTGGTAGGCTAACATGGGAAACCTGTCAGGGACTAAGAGGTGAGTAGATCAAGCATGAGAGTTTCAAGGTGCTTTGGAAAATAGTCCCATTCTATCAGGACAACTCTCAGCCTGCTGAACTGAAAGGTCAAATACAATACCTAAATGGAGAGGAATACAGAGAAGCCAGTGTAGCACTGATAAGTTTATGACTTGAATGATGAGTTTAATGTCATCTCATCCACTTAGTAACTTATGGCTGTGGGAAAGTTACACTCTAGATTTATTTATTTTTTTAAAGATTGTTATCTCAAGTGACAGCCATAGCTTCCCAAAGTATCCCAGGAGTCCCATCATTTCAGCTTATAAAGTGGGAACTGAGGCTCAAGCTAACTAAGCAATTTATCTCTCTTCCAAAAGTGGATCAATAACCCTTATCTCTTGATTATGTATGTAATTTTGTTGTTAATACACCAAAAATTAGAGGAAACTAATAGAGTGTATAATGAGACTTGGGTTGACACAGAAAAGTAGAGGACAGATGATAAAGCTAACCATTTATTTAAGGGATAAAAAGAATGACTATGAATTTTTTTATCAAGTCTTGAAATAAAATAATTAGGGACAGACCCTGACTTCTAAGGAAGACATTTAAAGCAAATAAGGAATTATTATTTAATAAAGTAGGGAGTAACTTGCAGAACTGAGAAACCAACAACAAAGCAGTTTTGTGTGCTAAAAAAAAAATCAAATAGATTTTTAAAGGTTTAAATAAATCCATTTATTTATGATGAGATTTATTGTGCAAACAGAGATTTTTAGAGTTTTTCCTTTACTTTTTACAGATTGTCATGCTTTACAGCTACCATGTCCCATAAAACATCCCTAATATTGGCACTATTCGAATGTTGGATTGGACAAATCCTGAGTCTAAGATAGTGTGGAAATTATATACATTTTGTAAAAAGTCACTGTTGCTGCCAAAAAATTGCAGTTCATTATTAACAATAATTCTCTAGGAAGTTAGCTTTAAAAATCTCTCTGCCCACACTTACCTTCCTGTTTGTTTAAAAAACTGTTCTTCAAATTCTCTTAAGGCTTTGCGCAGTCTCTTCTTGTCAGCCCTGGTTTCTCGGAGATGGTCAAGAAGTACAGGCCTGAAAGGGAAACAGAGGCAGCAAACCACCGGGTTACGTATGCACCTATGCAACAACCCTGCATGACCTGCGTATATACCCCAGAACCTAAAGTAAAATTACAAAAAAAAAAAGAAAGAAAGAAAGAAAAGAAGTAGTACACGCCTATAGAAGGTAAAATATTTGCCATTACTGAGCACTGGCATAATTGAGAGATCAACATGAGCAGATTTCTCTGTTGAGCCAAAAAAGCACACTATGATTAAAAGGTGTTCCGATCATAACAGTGTTTTTTAAGTAAATATGACACACATAAAACATGACCATAGGCAAGCACACAAGCAGGGAAAATTACCCGATGGAAAACATATCATAGGATAGGGGAAATGACAGACAAGAGGCAAGCACATTGAGTCCACTGAAAGAAGTTGTAAGGGTAACAGCAGTATAATTGGATGAGGGAAAGGATGTTTTGAAGGACTACTCAGCAGCATTTGGTGATAGACTAGATGTAAGAGATACAGAGGAACAGCTTTTAAATAAAATTATATCCTTAATCTAGAGAAATAAGTGTGGGAATGTGGGGAGCATGGCAAAATCCTTGTGAATGAAAATAAGACCCAGAAGAAAGCAATAGTTACATTCTACCAAGATGAGAGAAAAGTCATACACTCTAGAGCAGGAGTTCGGTATACACAAACATACAAAACTCATGTTTCAGAGATTCTGGGAACTTGAAATTATATATGAGCATTTTCTTAAAATGATTCTATTGGTTTCAGAAAAGTCCAACACCCCTTGAAAAAGTTAGGAATAACTGCTTTAGAACCACCACCAAAAAAAGATTTTCTGCTTGCTTTTTCTGACAGGTCACATTTCTGTCTGTTTAAATCAAATTAAACCTCATAATCTGGGCTGTAAGATACAAACCAAAGAAGGCCAAATTATGAGGAATGCCAGCTTCTGAATAATAATAATGATAATATTGATGAAAGTCCAAATGTCTTCTGTCAGAAAGGCCATTTAAGAGACAAAGGGCAAGTCATTTGCTTCAGACCAATGGGATTTCCAGTTACAAAACTCTCATCTAAATGTAAGAGATTAGGATAAAGGGCCTGAGAACTGTTGACCCACCCCTTTGAGTCCAACATTTTCAAAGGCCACCTCTGCTTCATACACTGGTATCAGACCAGAAGAGTTAAGAAGAGACTCCACACTTAGGATTCATACTCACATGGTAGCCTCATGTAAATTAGACATGGAGAGAGCTGGTGGTTTTACTTCTTTCTTTTCATCCGGTAGAAGGGCCCTAACAGGCTCAGTCTCATTAGAGTAAATGACGTGTTCACCAACAGGAAGGTGAGATGCTGGATCCGGCAAAGAAGGTTGTTGGCTTCCCTGTGGATGGTCTTCATCAGAGTCCTCTTCCTCCTGCTTATCACAGACAGAGTTAAAGAAAGAAAGTTACATAATGCCCAGTGCCTCTTGAGGAAACAAAACAGGAAGGGGAACAATAAATCAATGTCATGAAAACCAGTAGGTGACCCATGTGCCTACTGAGAACTGGGATGGAAGCAACCAAAAGGAGCTCTTCCTCAGTTTGATTAAAAACTTGCAGAAGTTAATGAGCAAAAAGGCAGCAGCCATTCTGGGCTAAAACACTCACCGAGTTAATCTGTGTCTTCTGGGCCAATGAAGGCACAGACCATTAGGATATGGTCCAGTCCAGACTATACTACCAAGTGGTTCCTCCCTTTCACTAGACCTTCTGGGCTCCAGCTTAATACTTGTGATATGAGTTAATATGAGATGGTCTAAAGATAACTTTTATCCTCCAGAAATACCCCAAGTCAGGTCCCACTGGGGACCAACATTCAAATACAGAGGATACTCAGAAAATTGACATGTTCAGGGGAGAGCTCTTTGAAGGCCAAAGCAAAGTGGGGTTGCTCCTCAACCTGTTCTGATAATTTTTATCACAACTAGAAGATTCTTTTGCAAGGAATATAAGAACCCTACTACATTTTAAATTATACTTCCATAATGGGAAAAATCCAAAGACTATGAATTATTATTCTCTTAATGTCTTTAAAATACGGAAGTATAAATGTACCAAGTATACTTACATTTATATTTGTTAATATTTACTCCTTTTCATATTGATGTCTTGAACAAGTAACTTTTGATATTGATGGAGTAGAATTTGTGATGCTTTTCTAGTTCTGTATTCCCATACATCATTCTTTATTAAAGGTAGTCTAACTCAATTTCAGTACTCCTATTTTCTATTGAAATAAATCTTCTCATATCTTGTACAATATGGTCAAATAGTACCAAAAACAAATGTTGCAATATATCAAAAATATATTGTGAATTTTCTGATTAAAGGAATAAATTAACCAACACAGAACAGAAAGTCTCTGTTTTGTCTAGTTGTGCTACAAATTAGATAATGCCAAACTGAAATCTATCATTTCTTTTCACCCAAGGTAATCAAGGCAAATGTTAAAATTGGCTCTAGACATGCAAGTACTATATGCTCTGATTTTACAGTAGTTCTAATATCTGCCACTGTTAAGTATAGTAGCAGGGTTAGAGAAGACCAAATTTTCACTTTTTGAAATGACGACTGGCCTTGTTAGCAGTATATACTGCCATGAAGGGTCTTTTATAACTCTTGTAGTACTATGTGACATCATGTTAATTACACATCAGTACAAAATACCAGCATGCAAGTATCCTGACTTACAATTGTTGGAATAAGGGAAGGCGTTGACAAGATTTGCTTGATAATTCTGTACCGGTCATAAAGCGGTTTTATGAGGTTCTTGTCTTGCTTAGTTACCTGAAAAACATGAAATTAATCATTATTCCTCTCTCAGACAAGAATGAAAAGTCAATATTTTTAGCAGACAAGAAGTCTCAAAGTAAAGGATTATAATACTATAATGTAAGAGTTATCATAAAAAGAAAAGTCATTTTTATTTTATTTTATTTTTTGAGACAAAGTCTCACTCTGTCACCCAGGCTGGAGTCCAATGGCATGATCTCGGCTCATTGCAATCTCTACCTCCCGAGTTCAAGCAATTCTCTTGCTGCAGCCTCCCAAGTAGCTGGGACTATAGGCGTGTGCCATTGTGCCTGGCTTTTTTTTGTGTGTGTGTGTGTGTGTATTTTTAGTAGTTTCAGGGTTTTACCATGTTGGCTAGACTGGTCTCAAACTCCTGACCTCAAGTTTCAGCCTCCCAAAGTGCTAGGATTACAGGCATGAGCTACAGTGCCCAGCTGGAAAGTCATTTATAAAATACTGCATGTAGCACATGCCAGTTTTTTTCTTGGAAAAGTTTCTTAAAGGATACGCCCAAGTTTAGGAATGTGATTTTTGGAGGAGTCTGCAATGCATAAATGTTAAGGAACCTCTTCCTCAATTAATTCTTCATTCTTAAAAAACCAATTCAGACATTGATTTTTCTACTGAAACATGTATTTTACCTAGACTTTCCTGATTATATTTAGTCACAAACACCAACCTTGTACAGGTCTTCATCACTACATGCTTGAATTATATCCTAGGTTACTGTCTAGCGGTGATACAACCTAAATTATTTTGGACAAAACAACTAACTTCTCTGAATCCTCAATTTCCTACCTATACAAGAAGGAGGTTGGAGTTACCAGTATCCTTCCATATAAAAAAATGTATAACCTCTTGATCCACTAATATATTCTATACCCCTCTACCGTAAGCATCCCATCCCTAAGCACTATTTTCAACAGATCACATTGTGCACAAAAATTTAAATAACTTCCTAGCTATCAATCTGTCTATCTATGTATCTGCCTACTTATCCAAAGTGACCTAACTCCTCTGCTTATACTGATTTTTCTTCCTGCTTTATTCTGCATTAATTTTCTGCATGTCTAGTACACATAGCCTCTCTTTTACTCTAGTCCAGTGATAGACACTTGACAAGTAGTGGGAGGGGAATAGTAGAAATGACTCATGGAATAATCACCCTGGCATCTTTTATCAGAGTACACACATCCAAGCATGCCAGACAGATCTGCCATCCAGATCTCTCTCCCTTGAAAGAAAAGAAAATGTTTCAAACATGTGTTACACTTCCCAGTTATCCTCATGCTCCCAACTCTCATCCCAATTGCAAACCATTCTGGCCCGTATTGATCTACCTTTTCTCTGAACTTCTTGTCTCATTATCTGGGCCTTAACTGTTTTCTTTGTTTCAGCTTTGTCTGCCCAAATAAAGGGGTATGGAGGACAGAGATTATACCACATATTTCTTTAAATTCTCACAGTACCCAACACATTCCCATCCCTACTACCAAGTTATCAACACAGGTTTATGTGCAGAAAGTACTCTAATTTTTAACAATTTTCTTATAAGTTCCATATGCTAAGACTCACCTCCCTCTGTAGAACCCTTTTAAGTATTGTTTAAATAACCTCAAGATCTTTTCATTTGCTAACCCAATCATTCTTTTTTTTTTTTTTTAATTTAGATTCTAGGGTACATGTGCAGGTCATGCAGGGTTGTTGCATAGGTGCATATGCACCTATGGTGGTCTGCTGCCTCTATTCTCCCTTCATATATATCCGGCATTTCTCCCCATGTTATCCCTCCCCACCCTCTCCTCCTCTGCTGTCCCTCCTCTAGTCCCCCTCCCACTGCCCCCAGTGTGTGATGCTCCTCTCCCTGAGTCCATGTGTTCTCATTGTTCAGCACCTGCCTACAGTGAGAACATGTGGTATTTGGTTTTCTGTTCTTGTGTCAGTTTGCTGAGAATGATGGTTTCTAGATTCATCCATGTCCCTACAAAGGATACGAACTCATTGTTTTTTATGGCTGTGTAGTATTCCATGGAGTAAATATGCCAGATTTTCTTTGTCCAGTCTATCATTGATGTGACCCAATCATTCTTTAAACACTTTCTTATTCATAACACATCTTTCCATGAAAAAAAAAAATGCAACAAGTTCCTATCAAAATCGGTTCCATGGGATTTTAATAGATGATAGAGCAAAAAATCTCAGTCTACATTCAGAAAACATTGAAATAGTGTTTTTTATGTAATATCTTACTAGGACTTATAGTCCATAGAAAGTATTTCAGAAAATGATGCATTCAACTATTATTGGTGTCTTTCCATTGCAATTTGATTTTTGTTATCTGAGCATATTCCCCAGATTCTAGAAAAGCTAAATGTAATCCTAAAAAAAAAAAAAAAGCGATCAAAACACACATTAGAATGATGAATGCCATTGTAGAAAAGTATCTTCCACAGATGCTAGATCAGGTATACCCAGACTACGGCCCACAGGCCGCATGCAGCCCCCTGAGGCCATTTATCTGGCCCCCCCCTGCCGCACTTCAGGAAGGGGCACCTCTTTCATTGGTGGTCAGTGAGAGGAGCACAGTCACAGTATGTGGCGGCCCTCCAACGGTCTGAGGGACAGTGAACTGGCCCCCTGTGTAAAAAGTTTGGGGATGCCTGTGCTAGATAAAAGTTCAGGAACATGTACAATGTATGCACTCCTTTTTCACTTTGATTTCATTGTCTTCCTCTTAAGATCATTATAACACCAATCCCGATGTGAGGGTTCCACACCCTATCACATAGTAAGTACAAAACACTGTGAAACCTCTAAGTCTACAAGTGCTCATCCTCAGAAAAAGGACAGGAAAGCAGAGTGCCTGAGGAAGGATAGTAGTGGGATTATGCGCCAGGAACTGTTTTCTCCTCACAGAGAAGCAATAGGCCTGCAAAGTGATCTTTATAAAGGAAACTGAATCAAGGTAAGCTCTACAGGATATCCCAAATCTAAGAGGGCAGAAACACATTAGACTGCTGTTATTCTTCAGCCACTTTCTGCTAAGAATCAGATAATGTTCTCTGAATTCAATGGCTCTCTCTTTCTGAATGCATCCTTCTTCCTCCCTAAATCTATAGTTGCTGCTGGCTGTAGTATGCAAGATATATATATTTTTAAAAATTTTGTTATATGAAGAAAACAAGGCTTCCTTTATATTTTTGGTTACATGTTGACTAAACTAAAACAGCCAAAGAGAGCTATGAATCGACTGTCATAATTTAAAGATAAATATGAGGAGCTAAACTTTAAAAGGTAATTATTCTTCCAGTTTCTCCATTTTTATAGTAGCAGGAATAAAACTAAGAGGAGGATGAGCAAGAGAGCACCATGTACAGGACACAATTTGATATTATTTTTCTTATAGCTTGGCAACTTTGCCATATGAAAACTCCTGGCTCCCTATCAAATAGGTGATTTGAATTATCGAGGTCTAGAAATAAACTGGCTTTCCGAGAGACATAAATGCTACTGAGGGGTCAGCCCAAGTTAGTTTCTTTCTGGGCCCTGGTCAGAAAGTTGTTTGGGAAAAAGCTGCCATAGCTTCAGCACCTTTATCACCTTGTTTTCCTTTCCCCCATGGGACTGGTGCCATGTATTCTTGCACAGTAAGCCACAGAAATTTATAATAAAATTTTATAAATAAAATCATTCCAATTATCTCCATAAATGAGCTCTCTCTTAAAGAGAAAAGTAAAACTGACATTCTCTTTTCTGGACAGTGAGCAGTAGGAAACATGCTTCTTAGCTTTAGGGACTCAAGTCCTGCCAAGGTTTTCCTAAGTATCCCCAACCCCTTATTTAGGGAGACACTATATGTAAGCAAGTCTGGCCATTTAAACAATCAAACAAGACGGAAAGTCAGTAATGGATATTATCATAGAAAGCAACTGCTAAAGAGAAAGTTTTGGTCAATTTAGATGTCCAAGCAGGGAATTGAAGACTAATATTCATCTTAAAACCAGAGGACATGAGTTCAGATAACCAGCTTCAAAACTTATAAACTGTTAACATTACAAATATGTAACATTTGAACCTTAGTTTTCTAATATGCAGAATGAGGATGACTTTTAATAAGTTATATAAATGTTTCTGGATTAACAATAGGAATACTAAAAGTTATTTGGGCTATCAAACTAGTTGACTTGATGTTAATGTCAATGCTATGCATTAATAAAAAAGAACGCCACAGTGCTATTGAATAATAAATTTTTAAAAGTAAAAGAGAATGATAAGCTCTCTATGTCTTGATATAAAAAGCTATCCAGAATATATAAAGTAAAAATGATGCGTAATTGTACAGACTACTCCCTTTTGTCTAGCAGAAGCAAGTTAAGACTATATATTGGGGCTAGGCATGGTGGCTCATTCCTGTAATCCCAGCACTTTGGGAGGCTCAGGTGGGAGTATGACTTAAGGCCAAGAATTCTAGACCAGCCTGGGCAAAAGTGAGAGCTCACCTCTACAGAAAATTAAAATAATCAACCAGGCATGGTGGCGCACACCTGTAGTCCCAGCTACTTGAGAGGCTGAGGTAGGAAGATCACTTGAGCCCAGGAGTTCATGGCTGCAGTGAACTATAATTGTGCCACTGCACTCCAGCCTGAATGATGAAGTGAGACCCTGTCTCTAAAAAAATAAAAATAAAAATGAATGTGGATTGATAATTTCTTATATATGCTTTACATAGAAACTCTAAAAGAACACATAAAACATTAATAACAATGGGTATCTGCTTGGGGTGGAAGATCTCAGAGCTGGAAATGGCAGTTGGGGTTGGAAGGAGTTTTTTTTAAATTTATTTTTATTTTTATTTTTTATTTTTGCCATTTTCTTTTTGAACTATATGAGAAAGTATTACCTATTCAACATACTTTTTTTAGAAGAAGGATAAATAAGAAAGCAGAAAAGTTTGATGGCATCTTTCTTTGCATGCCCTTTATCTCGAAGTCTACTGTCTTTTCAACCAACAACAACCTGCTAATAAGTTATTAAATTTTTACTGATTGTTTAAAGATAAAATGTATACTTTCTAAAAATCTGCTTTCATCCTCAAAGATGCTACAGTTGACAAGAGGCCAGAAGAAGTAACTGCCATTACACATCCCTTTGATAATTTGTGCTGTGTACCTGACCCCACCTTCAGTTCTTAGAAAGGTCAATATTGATATATGTGCCAGCAGCAATTCAGTATTTCCAAAAGAAAATGACATTAAAAAAAACAGAAATAGGCACTACAGTTCAGCTCAGGGGATGATTCATTCATTTCCAGTTCACAGCCATGCCCTGTAACCCAGAAGTGATTTTCTCCAAAAATTATCCATAGATAAAAGAGGAAAAAAATTACTCATTGGTAGTATCTGAATGAACAAGGCAATGCTATAGGATTTATCACCCTGAGTATGGGCTCTGACTAAATACTAAATGCAGAAATTACAGAAAGAGTCATAATAAACTCTCTCTAGAAAAAATGGCATTCTTTATCTTGAAATTTTAATATTTAGTGCATTTTCAGCAGTAAGGCAAGGACCACAGATGAAAGTCATATGTCATTTCAAGTTTAAAGAAATGGGACCTAATGAGATGAACTGAGATGCTACTGAGCTCATTAAGGAGTTACAAATAACACTAGCTGCTATGGGAATACACCGTTTTCTCTTTGGTTATGCTGTGGCCTCTGGATTCACACGGACTGTAGTGGCTGACTAGCTACTACATGGTTTACTTTGTTAAGCTTTCTCAGGAATAATACTCAGCTTTATGTATTTACATTTTCTATTACAGATGCTCTCCATTTAAAGGACCTAACGTTAGTCTACTGAGGAGCTACATTATAGGTATATTTGAGGGGGCTTCTGACACATAATAAACAAATCAATAGATACGTCATTAAAAATAATAGAATTAACTGGCATTTATACAGGGTGACTTCCATGCATACGGAGATTTTTCTCTGATCTCCTGACTCTCATTTGCATGTGTCTATTTGACTTACATGCCTCAGTAGAATGACCAACCATCCCAGTTTTCTCGGGACTCAGGCATTTCCCAGGCCATAGGATTTTCAATGCTAAAAGCAAAAAAGTCTAGGGCAAACTAAGAGGATTGATCACACTATTCCTGAAAGATCTTAAATGTAATATATCCCAAAATGACCTTTTACATATTCATCTACAACCCCCAGTGTGCTCCTCCAGTTTTCTCTGTGTCAGTAAATGGACCATCACCATCATGGATTCTTCATTGCCTTCATTTCCTCCCATCTAATGCTTTAAAATGTCCTTTTGATTCTACCTTCAAAATATACTTTGAATGTATCACTTCTTTCCCTCTCCAAGGCCACCATGCTAATCCAAGCCACCCATTCCATCTCCCCTTTTCATTCTTTTCCCTTATGATATATTCTCCACTTAGCAATCAGATCTTTTAAATGTAATCATGTCATGTCACTTTTCTGCTGTCAACCATTAAACAACTTCGCAAATAATTCCCACAGCTTAAAAGGTTCTGTGTGATGGGTTCTAATCTGTCTTTTCTGATTTGATCTCATGCCATCCTGTTCTCCAGCCCTCAAACTTGAGAATTCAAAGTGCACAACAAGCTCTTCCTTTCATCAAGGCCTTCATACTACAATTCCATCCGTCGAGAATGTTCACAGCTGCTCTTTGGCCTGCTGATTCTTCTTTAAATGTCATCTCTTGGCCTTCCTAATCATTTTATCTAAAGCAGAAACTATACCCATTATTTTCTATCATATCACCTGTTAAATATCCTGCATAGTACTGTGGGAAGTAGAAAAGTTTCTTTTTAAAGTTTTCTTTTTTGTTAAAGAATAAGTATGCTAATAACTTTGTTAAGCCCTATTCTATGTAGCTGTTAGACATGCCACGCTTACAGGCATGTAGTACGTTCTATGTTCTTTCACTTTAACCAAGATATTTGTGCTAAACATGCTTATAGGCATGTCCCAACACTTTCGATTATTTCTTGTTTTTGAGTTATTTCTTGTTGTATTCCCACACCCAGGACAACATGAACTACATGAGGACATTGACCTCCCCCCATGACTTCTCTATCTTTTTTCTTTTTTATATCTACCATCTATTCTACTTCACAACGCACAGCATTCAAAACCTTTTGCAAATGATTGGTGTCCACCAGTCAGTAGGCTTCTCTCTTATTGTCATGATAATTATATAAGTAGGTATTGCTTGTATTTTACAGATGAGGAAGTTGAATCTCAGAGAATTAGTTCACTTGCCAAGTGCCAATGGATAGAAAGTGGCTGGTTCAGGTGCTGAGTCCTATTCTAAGTCTACTGTATCAATTCCAACTCTCCTCTTACTACCCTTGTTAATTGAGTAGATTTAGACATTGACCAACGTGCTTTAATAGATATGTTTGAAGTAACTTTAAAATACTGGAAAGACCTTCAGAACTACTGAAGGATGGAAAACCATGGGTGTGCCTGAGAGTTTCTATATATATATATGCAGAAGTTACCCACTGGCTATCACAGAAGTATAGAATCTTGGTGGGCTCAAAGATAGGATAGCTGAGTGGAAAAAAAGTTTCTCTTCACTCCTTACAACACATATTTGTTGTTGTTATTTTAAGGCTAAAGGTATTTCATAAAGATGTGGTCACTGGCCCATTTCTACTTGTAGATCACAAATCCTTATGTAAAGGACTAATCCAGGGGTATATGCTGAGCCTTTTGAGATTTGGAATATGTTGTCATTTTATGATTAATACCAGGTAATACACAATAGAACAGGGAAAGGCAGCATTATCTTCAAGAAGGCTTCATTTGAAAATTAAATATGCTAGTTTGTTCACTTATCTGCTCATTTTTCCATTCACGCAGCAAACTCTTATTCAATACCTACTATGTACAGAAAAGGAGGGGTCATGACCTATAAATAGTACTTCCATGCAAGAAATTCAAGGTGTAGTACAAGAAACAGAAGATGGCATACAAGATAGCTAGAGCTATGATAGGGTAGTTGCATCTCTTATTCGAGAACTGAAAGTCAATCACACCAGTTTTAGAGGTGAGACAGAGGACTACAAGAAAGCTTCTCTGGCATAATTGAAATGGGAGCATAGATACGCAGGACAAGGAGAGATTAACCAGGTAAATACTAATCAGTCTTTTCTTCTTCATAAAATATAATAAATCTTCTCTTTGAGCTTCAGGCTCATATATTCAAATGCTGACAACTCTATCTGGATGCCTCACAGAGACTTCAAAACTAAGACACCCAAAGCTGAAAACTTGTGTTTCAACCTAACACTCCAGAAACCCTACCTCTCTATTCTTATTATATAAATACCAACTATTTTCCTTACTATTTATAGATTATCCCTGTTCTATTATTTTTTATTAAGACATGAGGAAAGGGGCTGTAACTGGAGTCCTTTCTTTTCAGACAATATGCTTATTTCCTAGTCTTGGGTTCATTTGCTAATTTGGAGGTGGGGATAGCTGAGGAGAAAGGGATGCGGTGTCCTTGCCATTTGCTTCCCATCAACACCCAAGAATATAACCTCCAGAATGGTGACATGGCCTGGAATCATGTGGCACTACTGCTCATGGCCAGTAACCTATCAAGAATTCATCTGAAATTTTGGACCCAGGCTAATAAAAATGTTTATGTAATGGCAAAGTGCTCTGACAAATTGGATGATCTCACTAGCACTGTGTGGAGTACTGGAGCATGCAATATAATAAGACGTGATGAGGTACCTTAGAATCCTCTTGGGGAGGAAGTTGCTCTCTTTTCTCCTTCAGGCATATCAAGGCAGCATCTGGAGTCTCTTCTCCAGAGGAGCTTGGCTCTGGGCCCGCAGCTTCTGGCTTCCCATTTTCTCTGAGGACTGTGGGTTGCTCACAGGACAGGTTTCTAGGTGGACCTTTGGGAGCACTCCCTTGTTCTTCTGACAGCTTTAGCTTTAGTTCTAAGAGAAATGCTATAAGTTATCATAAGCAAAGAGAACCCACATGCTCTAATAAGAACAGAGAGCCTTTCAGGAATTCCTTCCCCAATGCCAAATCTGTAGAAATGAACACTAATGATGGCTTTCCACAGGGCAAGGGCAACCCTTATTACAAGGGCCATTAACATAAGCTCCTAATAAGGTGTGAAACAGGAATCTAAAGGCTAGGATCTCATGGAGGTGGAGGATATGTATGGGAATAACTCAGTAGTTTAGATTTCAGAGGAGGAAGAGTTTGCAGGAAAACCAGTGGTACCTGGCCCTACCTGCAATGTACTCCAGCACCTGAAATTCCAAACCCAAACATTTGTTTACTTAGATTTTGAAGTGGATTCATCAAGAGCCCCTGTAGAAATGCAAGTAATTCTGGAAGACATTATACATGTAAACACTCGAGGAACTATAGGAGCAGGTGGGAAAGGGTAGATGGGAGTATCAGCCTCAACTTGACAGATTTTGCTATTTTTGTCTTATGGCAGCTTTTAAGATCCAAGAATTATTTCAATGTGGCTTTATATTAAACCTAGATAATTAAAAATCAAAAAGCCCCATGAGACTTATCAGGAATAACATTTTACAGTATGCAGGGGGACTGGTTGTTTGAATGAGGCATTTGTATTGATTTCTCCATTACATAGCTGATTTTCTTTGTTTGATGTTTGTTTGCTAGTTAGACTTTGGCTCAATGTTTAAACATTGCATATTTTATAAACCTGCCACATCATTACGGTTTAATACCACTGAATTAATATTCCCTTCTAGTTCTTTTTAGTCACTCTCCTTCCAGAAATTTGGAAAAACTCCGATGTCTCTAAGTATTAGAGTGAGGAAAGAGGAAGAAAATAATTTTTATTGGTAAATAACAATAGTCCATTTTAAGTGGGTTTTAGAGTTAATACTCACACCACCGTTTCCAGCAAAGGACAGAAAAAGAAGGACACTAGCCCATATGGCAGGAGAACCACATTCTACACCTGGCCCACCATTTTCCAGCTATGTAACTCTCCCCTCTCCATGAGCATAAATATCCTCATCCATGCACTGAGGTGGGTGAAGTAAATGATTTCTCAGGCCTCTTCTGTTTCTAACATCCAACAATCCAATAACCTAGGGAGGTTAGTGCTCCACATGTTGAAATGTTCCTGGCATTGAAGTGAATCATTCCACTTGGAGTCTGGAGGGCCTCAGTTTCTTTGTAAGGAGGTTTATTACATGGGGTCAAACAATGACAGAGATCCACGATGCTTCATTTCAAAAGAGAGCTACAGTCTAAGCAGGAAACAAGGTGCAAGAGGGCACAGGTGGAAATAAATCTAAAATGCTCTGGAGCACATTATCACTACTTTAACTGCTTCCTTTATGAGGAAAAAAAGACCTTTGGTTGGCATTTACCTTTGAGCTGTTTACGACCTTTAGCCAAATCATTCATCCATTTCAGGACTTCAGGATTAGACGTCTTGTCACCATGTGAAGGCTACCAAGGGAGGGAAAAAATGAGGGGAGGGGAGGGAAGGAGAAAGGAAGAGGAAGGGGGATAAAAAGAGAAAAGGGAAAACAAATTTTTTAAATAGCTGAGCCACACAAAGATAGTTTACGAATATATAAAGCTGGGAGGGAAACTCAAGTGTGAAATTACTGATGGAGTTGCTTCTGATGAACTTGCTTCTAGAAAACACAGTAAAATGTTCTTGACCTCCTCTATTCTTTAATCCTTGCCATGGGTATTATTTCTAAACATGCCTCGTCACCTAACATTTTTCACAAAGTCTTAGCCATGCCAGTGCCCCTATAATCAAACTGTCAATCACCTTGCAGGTCGCCCACAGCCCATATATATGCCACTGCCAGGCCATTCTCTGTAGCACTGCAGATGACTGCACTGACACAAAGCAGTGCTTACTGCCTTGCTTGTGGCTTACACACATGGCGTATGTACATAACCTGTGGGAGAATACTAAAAACTGGAAGATTCAGCTCTTATCACTCACAGCCTCTAAGCTAAAGAAAGGAGATCCCGGAATCTCTAAAACCTGACAATAGCCCTGAGAAGTCAGTCTGTTAGGGGGATTAATACCTTCACTAGTGGCAGCCAAACATACTGTCCCTCTACCCCCATAGATCAGTAAAAAACTGTTCTTAAACAAGTCAAGACTACCATAATAACTTACATGCAGGCTAAAGAAAATTAATGGTTACTTTAAGGATGTACAAGAATTATAAAATAAGGTCAAGATGACATGATCATAAACATAATAGCCTGAAATATGTGCCTTGTTAATGACCAAATCAAGAGGTTCTGTCAATTTTTTTCTTTAAGGATCCACTAGATTCATGTAACAATGGCAGATTGTTGGTGAGAGGGAGGCATAGGAAGATGGGGATTTTTCTTTTTTTTTTTTCCTTTTTTTTTATTGCATTTTAGGTTTTGGGGTACATGTGAAGAACATGCAAGATTGTTGCATAGGTACACACATGGCAGTGTGGTTTTCTGCCTTTCGTCCCCTCGCCTGTATCTGTCATTTCTCAGAAGATGGGGATTTTTCAAACTCAAAGGAAAAAAACTACAGTGTGACAGAATCATCACATGTACATGAGTTTAGGTATACTTACTATAAAACATAAGGCATGATTCTGTCAGTTCTAGAGTGATTTTTTAAAACATACATTTTTAAATTAAAATAGAAAAGAAGATTGACCATGATTCTTTCCTAGAAGAGCTTGAATAGTAGACTGGTTTCCATGAGGGATGGGAGGGAGTGGGAGGAGGGGTGGGAGGGGGTGGGGGGGGGGAAATCCTTGGTTTCAGGACCATGGACAGTAACATGTGGGCATCAATTCCAGCCCTCTAAAGCAACATAACCTAGTCCTATCTATGGTCTGCTAGGACGATGCACTGTATAGTCCAGAACTTTTGCTTTGGGTAGCAGTCTGGTTACATGGAAAGTCAATGTTTTACATTTGGTTTCCCCAAATCCTCAGAGAATTTCCCCACTCCAATCTGAGAACACATCTTGTTGAACAATGTTTCACTGAATCTGTTCCACACAGTTAATTCCACCTTTTGAAATATGGTAAACACACACACACACACACACACACACACACACACACACACACACAATCCTAAGACCTTAAGCCAGTGACTACAAAAGAAATAAGTTTTTACTACAGTGCATAGAATTTAGGAGAAATTTAAGGCTAAATTTCTGACAAAATAAAGCCTGAAATAAGTTTCTGAAATAAATTTATTTCCCTACCCTTGAACAAGCTTTTAAAAGGGTTAAATCAAGCTCACATTGATGGAAGCTCTCAAATCACATTGAAAGTTCTCATATACTAGCTGTAAATCTTCAGGCCTTTTCACTTCTTAAGTGAAATATTCTGATTCAAAAGACACCAAACATCATGCACCCAGAAATTATATAGTTTAGGCTTTGTTTAATGAATTAAAACTGAGCTCCCAAGTGCCACTGTATGAGATTTGTGATCTGCCAAAGATGATTCAAAAAGACACATTAGAAAGATTACTGAGAGGATTATAAAAAGATCTGAGTTGCTGTTCTGGCTAGAACTATTCTTTGCTGTATGATTCTGTGGAATTCACTTCCCCTCTCTGGGCCTCAGTTTCTTAAATTGTCAGTTGAGACAAAAGACTGGCTGATTCTTTCAAATTCTAACATTTTCTGATTCCACTGAAAGTAAACATCTGGCTGACACAGCCTTTTCTTAGCCCAAGAGTCCAATAATTCAATGTAAAATCAGATGTAGAGAATAAGCACAGTTTGGGATAGGTATATAAAATGGTTACTGTAAACAGAGATGGAAAGATACATGTGATACATGGGTATCAGAATAGCACAGAGGCCCAGCAGGAGCCTGGATGCCAAAATTAGCAGTGGGTGCTATGATTTCCACAGCCAGGCTGCCTGGAAGGGGAGCCTTACACACAGTAACCAATTAAAGCCCACTGACATGTAAGACCTCTAAGCACAGCCTGGCACCCTGACAGGAAGGACAAGGGGAAGCCCTGTTTCCTAAGATGTGAGGTTCTGATTATAACAAAGACTTTTATACACATTGAAGCAATGGTGACCAGGGAGCCTCCTTCCCCTTCTGCTCCCTGATCTGTCCTTCTGCGTGTGTGTGTGTGTGTGTGTGTGTGTGTGTGTGTGTGTGTGTACATGTGCACATGTGTGCATGTATGTGTGGTCTAGCTTCAGAAAACTAGACAAAGGCAGGAGGTGCTTCCAGGAGTAATTCTCTTCCAAAATAAGCATCTAAGATCTGTGGCTGTGGGTAGAAAAATCCAGTGTATAATTAATATGTACAGTTTTCCTTTATTTTCTGACAAGGCAGAGACTGCCATGGAGTAGCCTATTTAAATATATAACTCATAGATTAAAAAGTTAGTGTTATCTAGGACCATTTACTTCCTTTGTGCCAAACACTGTAATAAGCGTTATGTATGTACTTCCTTATTTGCCACTTATAAACGTAAGGTCACTGCCTAATACTGACTCCATTTTACAAATGGCCAAACTGAGACTCAGAAAGGTAACAAGTCCAAAATCAGAGAGTTCTTAAATAGCTGTCATGGATTCAAATCTGAAATAGTCTGATTCAAGAACTGCCAGATAAGAAGTGTTAGCAAGCACTGGGAATGGAGACCCTGGTTGTTACTCTGTATTTTCCAATATGAGGATGTCATAGATCCAACAGCAGTCCAGCAGCAAACAGGTGAAAGCAACTTCTCCCAGGATATATGGAGCTTTTAAAATGTGGACACTTAAAAAAATTGAATTCTATTCTATTGCAAAATCTACTCATCTGTAATCCATTGCCCCGATTTGTGACCCAATAAAACACAACTACCTTAGGCAAGTTATGTCCACCAGGTGCCAGTTTCATTATCTGTAAAATAAAATCCTGGACTAATAATGTGTTGAGCTCCCTTCTGCTCTATAAAAGACAACAGCTGTGACTGCCTAACTCTGGGGAAGACAATTTTCAACATCCTGACTACAAGTGCCTTGAAAGTCAATCTGATTTTCCCCTATTTTTGCAAAGCTAAAATCTGCTCCTTAAAACTCCTCCTTCAATGAATTTGAGGGCACTGTGGGAAACACAGGACAGGAAGAATTGAAGAGTGGAATATTACCCACTCTCACCTCCCTCCCCAGAACTTACTCTGTACTCAGAAAAACTTTCCGATTGCCTCTGTACCAAGTGCTTAGTGAACCATTAAATATTTCAAGATGTATAAGAGTTTATTCCCTGTTCTCTTTTATCCTAATAACAAGCTGTTCTGGGCTCTCTGCCAAAGACCCAATGTTTTTGTCCAATTATTTGTTGATATGGTTTTTCTCTATGCCATGGGCACCACTGGAGAAAACGAAAGCAACACTGACCATCACGACACTTACTTGTGACTCTATTGTTTCTTACATAAGAAGAAAGAAGGCTCATGTTTGCTGCACTTCAGTACTAGCATGAAGACTAGTGTCTCTCTGATAGGAAGGATGGATTAGGGTTGGTTCTTATGAATGTCCTGAACAGATGTCACTTGAGGAGTTCTCATTCATCAACCAGGGAATACTTTAATGTCAAAGAAATCTCTCATTCTGCTCCACAATTGGAGATTCTTCCCTTGGGTCCTTAATAAGTTCTTACCAAAATGCAATTGGGAAAAAGTAAAAAAGAAAAAAAGACCAGAATTCAAAAGCTTTCCAAATTTTGTTCCTAGAAAAACTATTGATAATAGTCTTCCTCAGAAAAAAGAAAGGGATATCAATAATCAAATAAGTTTGGAAATGATAGTTGTAATCCATTATTAGAAAATATCCTAGCAGAAATCAACTGACAGCAGATGAGAACAAGACAGACAAAAGATGAAGACTCTATGACAGATCCCCGTTAGCCCATGGGAAGAAAGCTGTCCCCTGGCAGAGAAGTGTACCCAGAAAGGAAAGATAGAGGCTGAGGAGAATCCATACACCTCTGACTAGTCTGCTCCCATGACAAATCCCAGGGTCCTTACCCGGTATTTCTTTTCTTGTTCAAATTTTTCTTCAAATTTCCGAATTTTCCGCTTGAGGCTCTGGATGTGCTTGGTGAGCTGGGTGATAGTCTGTGGCTCCTTGCCATCTCCACAGCTGCAGCGTGAAGAACTCCGAGGCCTGCATTGATTACAGGGAGGAAGGAGTATCAAAACAGTGCTCTTCCAGTAAACAGTTCTGTTGATCTACAAACCAAAATTACTGGATTGTCAGAGAAGTTCAGAGGGAAGTTCACTATTTGATGAGGCTACCATAGTAGCAGTTGCTCATTAATGGAGACTCCTGATCACAAAACTCTGTTATGGGTGGATGTTTTCTAGGACTTTAGTGTAAAATATCAAAATGTTAGTCCAAGAAATGCATTTTGTAAAGCTTAGAGGAGGCCAATTTAAGACTAAAAAGAGACAGCCCTATTGAGACCCTTTCCTCAGTAGGGTGCACAAGCCACATCTACCAACATTTTCAAGGAAGATTTAGATGAGTGGGTTAACTTTTCTTGATGTAACAGGACTTTTTTTTATATGATGAAAGGATGGGTTCCTTCTGCTGGAATTGCATACAACCTCTCACATGACACACACTGGCAATAGCAATAATTCACTAACTCTTTCAGGTCCATCAATAGATAGTCCATGGGCCCAGGATTAGATAAATAAAAGAAAAAAATAACATGAATTCTGAGGGAGAAGCCAGGGATTTCCTGGGCATATTTTTAGCTAAGAGAGTCTTAATCTTAACTATACATCAAAATTATTTGTGGAACTTAAATATAACACGTAGTTCCTCAATCCCAAATGCAAATTCCAAATGGAATGTGTAAGGGGAAGGCATCTGATTACACACACACACACACACACACACACACACACACACACACACAATTTGGACATGGGTAGCTATTGTAAGCTACCACTTTTCTAGAATCTTAAAAGAAATGTAGATGGACAGCTCCCAAGTGTTCCCACAACTCATCCATCAATGTCACAACTGGACATGGAAAGAATATTGAGCTCATCAAAAATGATGTCTGATATGTGCATGTATATATGTTCAGACATGTGAGCCCCTGGGCTATCCTGTCTCTCATGACCATTTCCTTTTGAGATATCAAGGTCTGCAACAGCATCCCAACTGGCAAGTACACTGATTTTTGTCATTTATTGTTCCAGTCTTGCAGTTGCATTAGGCAGGCATATTTGTGCTATTTCAGAAACACTTCATTGTAGTTTATAAATGTGGTATTTGAAAAACTATGAAATGAAGACAATAACAAAACAGTTTTCTTACATCATAAACTGCTGAGTGCTGGGTGGAGATGGGGCTGACTCGGGGTCTAAATTGAATCTCTGGCTTTGGCTGAAGATGGAGCATCGTGGTGACAGCAGTGGGTTGTCACCATCAGTGATGTGATAGAGCAGCCTGCTGGTCCCCACAGACTGGAGGTCTTCTGGTGCACTGTCGGCCTCATTCTGCCCATCTTTATGGACTGGTGAGGGGTCTGGGCAAATAAGACAAATCATCAAGACTTAGAAGTGACAGAGGGCTTGAGACTGTCATGTTCCTAAATAAAGATCGTAAACATTCATCATAATGCCTTGCCTCTTTGTCATTTCTTCCTTCTTGGGATATGAAAAGCTTTCAAAATATTGTCATATTTATTCTCACAGAACCTGGACAGAAAATATTGCAAAGCTGCCAACAAAAAAAGGAAACAAAAGTTTGGTATGAGTTACACAATAGGCACAACCTCAAACTACAAAAAAAAAAAAATCTTCTTTTTATGTCACATTATTTGCATAAACCAGAGGGTGTATTACGAAGTATTAAAGTGACTAAAAAGAAAACAATAAAATGGAGCTGGAGCAAAAGATTATAGATTATGAGGAAGAAAGGGGAAAACAATAGCCAGTGAAGGAAGGGAGAGAAGGGAATAGGAAAAAGAGAGAGGAAAAACACTAAGAGGAAGAGAGGAGAGAGGAGTCCCCCGAAAGAAAATTATTCAGAAATCATCAAAAATGATGGAGAACTCTGCTTATCAACAAAGAAGGATACTTAGAATATGCTAAATGGAAACCACGAATTTCAAAACAAAACAGATTCCATTTTATGTAAACACACAAATGTATGTGTACAAACAGATGCCCTAAAATATCAGAGATGTTATGTAGCAACTACAAAGTATGGTAGAATCAGGAATCATTCTATGTTTTTTCTCCAAAACTTTAGGTACCATTTTATTTCAGACAAAACAAAAATAAACCTGCTCCAAACCCTCTCCCCAGCTAGCAATCTCTGTCTCTGAATTCTCATTGGAACCAATCCCCTTTTAAGTTAGCTTCCCACCTCACAATCAGTCCAAAAGGTAGGTACCCCTCTGCTATGGAAGTAAGGGCAGGGGACTGAGGCACAGCAGCAGGGGATTAGCTCATTAGGAAACTTGAGTCAGGGGGCCAGAGAAGGGGCTCTGTACCCTGGGCTCTGTACAGAGTTATTCAAGAAACAGCCCATTCTCCTTCTTAAGTTTGCTCAGCAGACAAGTCAGGACCAGCCAAGGTTTTCTCTTTCTTACTACTTCTTCTCTAAAGAAAGTGGAAAACAAAAGATTTTCTGGATGAATAAGCAGAATCAGAAAATACTGCTGATGGATCTCTTGTCCAAAATAAACACTTATCACAATTTGGTTCCGGATGAATCTTAATCAGATTTAGAGTGGCTCCTTGTTCTCTAGAACTTGAAATGCAATTTGCTTTGTGTAACATCAAAGGTCTGATTAGGTCCTCTGTGCTTTCAGTTAGCTTCTCCCTGGTGGGTTGTAGACTGGAGGGTGGATAACGCCTCCCATTTTGCCTTTGAAGCTCACTGACAACACAATCAGTGGCTGAGGCTGGTCCGAAATGGATGTGATGACAGAAGAGTTGGAGGGAGGCAAATGGCAGTGACTCCAGCCCAAGGCAAGGCGTAGTGGTGTGACACACATCACCACAGGCAAAACCCTTGCCATGAATAATTTACCCAGAAAACTCTGCAGTTTGGAAGGAGCCCTCAGAGTAACAGGAATAAGAGTTACTAACCAACAACTCACAGCACATAATCTCACCTTCAAAATACACCAGCAGGTGTATGGGTTCCTTATCAAATTCCTTTCTTAAACCACTAGGCTTTAAGAAGAAATGTGTTTTATCTATGTTACCAGTTTCTTGGAAATATCTTCCAGAAATAATAATGGGGAAGAAAATCATCTTTAGCAGGCACCTGGGACAACTATATTTTTACTGAAATGGGAAAGGTCGGAGACCTTCAACCCTCAGCTCAGTTGTGGCCCTGGGGTGAAAACTAACACTATCTCTTGTTGGCTGCTGATTTATGATGCCAAAATGGAAATACTTGGGATTCTAGCCACATGACTGTGTAGCAGCGCCAGGAAAAGATCTGTTTCTGGAACCCATGAAGTCCTAAAATATAACTTTGTAGAATCACAGATCACTACAAATGGCTTTTTAAAAAACTGCATTCCAACAGTAATTGTAAACCTCCATTTACGTGGCATCTGTTTTCCCTTGGGCATTTGCATAATTTACCACGTGACCCAATTAACATCCTAACCTCCTTGCCTCCAATTCACTACTGAAGGAAGCTGTGAGCCAGACAGATCCCAAAGCAACAACTGAAAAACAACACAGTCAAAAACTGGTAATTTCGTAGAGCCTCAGTTCTTTGTCGAAACTCCCCATTTGAGCTGAGAAGGGGCTTAATTAAATCAGCTGACATATGCATATGTGTGTGTATTTGTGTAGACAGAATTATTGAGCTCTTTGCTCAGAAGAGGCCAGTGTAGATTCAGAGCCAATGCTCCTGCTGTCCTGGGAAGAGTCCAGGCCACTGTTTCCAGACTCTACTTCCCAGTAGGGAGAAGCTGATGGCAATATTAAACTAGGGTGAAACCTTTGTTCCCTGGGGACACATTATTTTTTATTCCAAAGGAAGGTGCAGCTTGCCAGGGCTCATCCTGGGCTGCAGTATGTTTTAGAGGAAAGGGTCTGGGAGCCTGGAGTCTGGTAAGCCTATACTTTCTGTGGGGCTCCAGCCAGTTTCCCTACCTCTCTTAGTTTCCTTGTTTGGCCCATATTCCTCACAGGACTGTGATAAGAAAAACAGAAGGAGACATTCTGTACAACACTGTGTCTACACAGTAGTCATACTGTCAACAGGGGGTATGTTCCAAGACTCCCAGTGGACGCCTAAAACTACAGAGCAGATCAAACCCTACATATACTATGCTTTTTCCTATACAGAGAGAGAGCTTTGATAAAGTTTAATTCATAAATTAGGCACAGTAAGAGATTAACAACTAATAATAATAAAATAGGGCAATTATAACAAGATACTGTAATAAAAGTTATATAAATGTGATCTCTCTGAAAACACTTATTGTACTGCACTGTGGGCACCTGAAACTGCAGAAAGGGAAACCCAGGATATGGGGAGACTAATGTTGTCACAGTGCTGTTACTTATGCTTAAAATTTTGTTAAAAGGCCAGATCCCATGTTAAGTGTTAAGTGTTTCTACCAAACTAAAAAAGAAAATTTACTTTGTATTTTCTAAAAATTTCTGTAACAGATAGAGATTACTTTTATTTAAAAAAAGAAAAACACAAGTTCATATTAAAATATAGGGGGAAAGTAAACTTTCCTGAGAAGGGAAGTGATAAAACACGCTGGTGGCAGACAACAGAGGACGCTGGTTGTTAGTTTGGATCCCAGGCCTACCACTGGTTAAGGAGAGTTTGGAAATGTTGGGCCTTTTTAAACCTCAATTTCTTCATCTGTTAAATGGGGAGAATAATGGTGCCTGCCTCACAGGATAAAATTATACCCCTCCAAAAGTTTTGCCATATCTACATAAACTTATTTTTTACCAATATAGTTTAAAACAATTTTTCAACCTACAGTATTTTTTTTAATTTAAGCTTCATTCTAAGTGATAGCCAAGAAGTCATAAATCTGATATACTAGTTACATTTTTAAAAACTAATACACATTAAAATAAATTCCTCTTAAAAGTCGCAACATTTACCCACGCATCCTTTATATAGGGTATTTGGTGAAATCTCAGGATAAAGCGTAGAACTACTGAACACAGTATCTATGAGAACCATTATTTTCAACAATTATTATTAAAATAAGGAAGTTGAATATTGTCTTCTCTTACTGAACACCAGCCTCATTTGGAATCCCTACAGGGTTAATATGCAAAATAAGAACGAATATACCCCTCAACATGTTGTCACTAGTCTGAGTCCCTACTTATAAAAACATAACAATAGGAATGCTGGGAATATGGCCTCCTAAGAACAGCTCAGGACTTCAGCTCCCAGTGAAAGTGCAGAGGGTGAGTGGACGCCGCATTTCCAGACGAACTCTTATTGCCCACAGACCAGGAGATACCCAGGCAGAGGGGTCGCCAGCGTCGCAGTCCCAGCTGGTGTGGCTGTTTTGGTCCCCGCGGGGCTGATTCCGCCCGCTCGGCTGCTGTGACCACTCCCTGTTGCTGCGGTTCTCCATACAAAAGCCACTGGTCTGGGAGCCCTCTTAGCTGGTGATCAGAGCCCTGAGACGGCAGAGTTGCCCATTCATCTGAAATAGCGAGCCAGGCCAGGAGATTCCTAGGCAAAAAATCCGCCAGGAGCCGGCGCCGCAGTTCGAGCCGACTCTGTGAGTCGCAGCACGGGAGATCCCGGCGCCTTTTCAACAAGCGACCGGAACGCGGGGTTGTTCAACTTAAAAGACAAGACTCTGAGTCAGGGAGCCAGGTGATCAGGCTCGGTTGGTCCCACCCCTCCACCCCCAACAACAACGAAAACAAAAACAGTAATTGGAAACCCTCTGGGTTGAGCCCTTCAAACCAAGCACAGCTGAACCGGAACGGTCGGCCTCGGCGGGGGAGGGACTTCCGCCATTACTGAGACTCTCCACCGCTACAGAGGCAGGCTGCCGTTGCCGAGGCAACCCGCCGTTGCCGAGGCAACCTGCCACAACAGAGAGAGTCCACCATAAGAGAGGCGGGGCCACCGTTGCCAAGACAGTTCTACCTACGCCCATATAAAAAGGACTACAGGGAAGAGCTCAGGGCAGCTGGGCGGAGCCCACAGCAGCTCAGCAAAGCCCCTGCGGGCAGGCAGTGGCTAGGCATGCTGCTAGCTGGGCGGGTCAGACCTGAAAGAAAAATCAAAAAAGGCAGCAGTGCAACGGAAACTCATAAAGCTCCAACACCCTGGGACAGAGACAGACAACAGGTGGATAAACCCACAAAAATGGGAAGAAACCAGCGCAAAAAGGATGAAAACTCCCGAAACCAGAACACCTCTCCTCCTAAAAGGGATCACAACTCCTCACCAGCAAGGGAACCAGACCGGATGGAGAAGGAGGGTGATGAAATGACAGAATCAGACTTCAGAAGGTGGGTAGTAAGAAACTACAGTGAGCTAAAAGAACATGTT